CTCTCTCTCTTCTCTCTCTCTCTCTCTCTCCCTCTCACTTTAAAAAAAAAAAAAAGAAAGGTTAACTTGATTGTTGAGACTTAGAAGAAATTTTAAAAAGATTACACTGAGAAAATTCTTAACACATAGTGAAAAGAGACAATAAAAGGAGGGTTTTTTTTATTCAAAGTTATAACTGGATAAGTAGATTTGTTTACAACCATTTTTGTGAAATACTTTTTAAAAAAATACGACCAACTTCTTTGCAAACAGCAGACACATACCTCAACTATGATGACCTAATTTTTGGTGGATAATGTACATGATTAGGCAGACATAGGCAAGCTCACACTGGTAAATTAACTATCAAATGCTCAGTCAAAACTCCGTTTGTGGCCCCCGCTTCTTGATCGATTTCTGTTCCCACTTCGTCTTCTACCATCTTGTCGACTTCCTGACCGACTTCCCTGTCGACTCGGTCTACCTGACCGGCCACCAGATCGACCACCTGATCGACCTGACCGGCCAGACCTGCCACTTGACCAGCCACTCCTTTGTCTGGAATTAGAAGATGTATTTCCATCATAATACTCTTCGATTTCAGGTAATTTGGCTGGCACTGAGAGTATCCAATCTGAATCATGCCACTCTGCCTGTTAAAGGAATTTACAGGATTAATAGAAATGCAAAATTGAAACCATAAGCAAGCAAAGATACTTCTGCATGTCCTTTATCCGTTAGCCAAAGATCATCTATCACTTAAATCCAAAGTGTCTGGAACAAAAATGAAAACCAAAAAATAAGCAAAAAGAAAACATGTTCAGGGCTGGGATTGTGGCTCTGCGGTAGAGCGCTTGCCTAGCACAGGCAGGACCCAGGTTCAATCCTCAGTACCACATAAAAATAAAGGCATTGTGTTGTGTCCATCTACACCAAATAAATAAATATTTTTAAAAAAGAAAAAGAAAAAACACATTCAATAACTAAAGTTACTAAGCTTTAGTTTCAGGAGAACTCTGACCCATTTCAAGACTTTAAACTCATCAATTTACACGGTCTAAAGGAGACTGCTATCTGCTTTCTCAGGACAAAGAAATAGAGCATTAATAAGCATTCCATTATTTTGAAGAGGTATACTAACAGAAACAAGATATACTACAGCCGATAACAGGGATTAGAAATCTGTCAACAGTAACCAGGAACTAAAAAATATAGCAACTGAAAACAATTTACTAGAGTAATCAACTCAAGATACATGAATCAATGGTATGGAGACAGTGCTCGGTAGTAGAATGCTTGCCCTGGGTTCAATCCCTAGTGTTCCCCTATTAAAAAAAAAAAAAAAAGGCAGCTCATAAGAGCAGTGCAATGTATTATCTTGGTAACTTAACCATTGTTCAATATGAGCACAAGTTGCCAAGGGAAGTCAATGTAAAATGCCCTGTTGATAAGAATGAGAAGAGAAAAACACCCATATAAATCATTGGTAGGTTTGGCAACATATGAGCACAGTCTTAAAAATGCACAAACCAGGGCTGGGGTTTTGGCTCAGCGGTAGAGCATTTGCCTCACACGTGCAAGAGCCTATGTTTGATCCTCAGCACGACATAAAAATAAGTCAATAAAAATAAAAAATAAAGGCATTATGTCCAACTACAACAAAAAAATAAACATTAAAAAAAATACACAAACCTTTTGGCCAATAGTCATATTAAAAAATGCATCTTAAAAAGATTAAACATGGCAATGCAGGAAGAATTATCTATATCAATATTCTGGGCAGTTTTATTTATAATAATAAATTATAGGAAATAGTCTAAATTTCAGAAAACAGAACATTGGTGATCAAAGTTGAGCCACCATACCAGGGCATCATAAAAAATAAGCAACTGGGGCTGGGGATGTGGCTCAAGCGGTAGCGCGCTCGCCTGGCATGCGTGCGGCCCGGGTTCGATCCTCAGCACCACATACAAAGATGTTGTGTCTGCCGAGAACTAAAAAAAATAAATAAATATTAAAAATTCTCTCTCTCTATC